TGAGCACCCCCCCATACACAACTGGAAGGAAGCCTTTGATCTTCCGCTTCACCCTGTTAAGAGCATAAGAGAAGCCATGTTGGATCAGACCAGTGGCCCATCCAGTCTACGCTTTATGTCACACAGTGGCCAAAACCCAGGTGTCATCAGGAGGTCCACCAATGGCTTTAAGAACACAAGAGAAGCCATGTTGGATCAGACCAATGGCCCATCCAGTCTACGCTCTATGTCACACAGTGGCCAGAACACAGGTGCCATCAGGAGGTCCACCAATGGCTTTAAGGACATAAGAAAAGCTATGTTGGATCAGGCCAGTGGCCCATCCGGTCCAACACTCTGTGTCACACAGTGGCCAAAACCCAGGTGGCCATCAGGAGGTCCACCAGCGGGGCGAGAGCACCAGAAGCCCCCCTCACACACTGTTGCGCCCCCAAGCACCACAAATACAGAGCATCACTGCCCCAGACAGTATTCCACCTATAACTTGTGGCTAATAGCCACTGATGAACCTCTGCCCCATATGTTGAAGCTGTCTGTGCTTATAGCTGCCACCACTTCCTGCAGCAGTGACTTCCACTCGTGAATGACTTGTTCCGTAGTTTTCCATTCTGAACTACTTTCAGTAGAATACTTCCAATATTGAGAAACCCGCAAGTGTATGTATGGGGGGGGTGTCATCAGACCAAAAAGGTTTCCTTGCTCGAAAGCCAAACGAGGGTTGCGGTGCTCATCTCCATTTCAAAGCCGAAGAGCCAGCGCTGTCCGAAGACGTTTCCGTGGTCGTGTGGCCGGCGTGACTAAACGCCAAGGCGCACGGAACGCTGTTACCTTCCCACCGAAGTGGTTCCTATTTATCTACTTGCAATTTCTTGCTTTCGAACTGCTAGGTTGGCAGACTAGAGCTGGGAAATATAGGTTCAAATCTCGATATTGCGGTGGCAGGTGACTTTGGCCCAGTCACTGTGTCTCAGCCTACCCTACCTCACAGGTCAAGACAGGCAGCCGTGTTAGTCTGTCTGTAACAGTAGAAACGAGCAAGAGAGTCCAGTAGCACCTTAAAAACAACGTTTGTGGCAGGGGAGGAGCTTTCATGAGGCACTGTTCACTTCTTCAGACTTCTTCAGAAGCAGTGTGCAGTGTGACTCAACGAAAGCTCTTGTCCTGCCACAGACTTTGTTAGTCTTTAAGGTGCTACTCTTGTTCTTTTCTACTACCCCACTGGGTTGCTGTGAGGGGGAAAATGGAGAAGAGGCCGATCCCGCACGTTTCTCTGAAGAGAGTGAGGATACAAATGGGCTTGACAGAGAGATAAAAGGAGGACAGCCCATTTACCTCAAGGTTTTTTTTGGGGGGGGGGGGCTGTTCAGGCCAGCAAATAGTTAATGTGACTGGATTCTTCTGTTACCCGACCTGTGCCTCCTTTGAACCAAAGCCGGCCAACTTTTCTTTCAACTTTTCAAGTCCCAAATGGCCACTCTCCCCCTCCGTACACACACGTTTCTGTCAGCAGTGGGTGGTTCTGAAAGGCCGTTCCCAAATCCTGGACTAGGAAGCTGGAGAAACCAGCCTGGTGTAGCGGCTAGGATCTGTGAGACCCAGGTTTGAATCCCCACTCTTCCCCAAAAGCTCCCTGGGTCCATACCCTCTCAGAAGTAGTGGTCTCAGAGCAGCTTCCAATCTCCTTTCCCTTCCCCTCCCCACAACAGACACCCTGTGAGGTAGGTGGGGCTGAGAGAGCTCTTTCGAGGTCTGCTCCTGAGAGAACCTACGCCAGGCATGGCAGCTGGCCTCTTTCCTGTCGCCCCGCCGACCTGGCCACGTTAATCCATGTAATGGTCACCTCCAGACTGGACTACTGTAACTCAACTCTGTGCTGGCCTGCCCTTGAGACTAACCCAGAAGCTCCAGCTGGTCCAGAATGCGGCAGTGTGAGTCCTGGCGGGAACGCCACAGACAGCACATGTACATCCTGTGCTGCACCAGCTACACTGGTTACTGGTGGAATACCCAGTCAGGTTCAAGGTCTTACTGTCAGGGGTCATTTCGTAGAAAAAGAGCTAGGGGAACTCATTAGCATAAGCCATTAGCATATGCCACACCCCGTGACATCACCGGAAGTGTGTCATAAGGTCACACCCCCTGACATCACCGGAAGTGTGTCATAAGGCCACACACCCCGCCCCCAACAGTCCCGGCCGCTGCCGGCCTTGCAGCTCCACTGCCGAGCCCCATGAGGGGCCCGGCGGTGGACCTGCAAGGCCGGCGGGAGTGCAAGGAAGCCCCGCGAAGGCCCTCCCTGGCCCCAGGCAGGCAGGGCTGGGGAGAGGCAGGGAGGAAGCAACTTACCCTCCCTCTTCTCCTGCCTCCTCCTGGCTGAATGAGGGCCGGAAGCGGGGTGGCCGGAAGCAGGGGGCGGGGCTTTGTCATGTGCCCCCCACCGTACCTCACTTGGGGGAACTGTGTTCCCCCACGTTCCCCCCTGAAATGACCTCTGCTTACTGTTGACTTTTAAGGCCTTCAGCGGTCAGGGCCCCACGTATCTTCAGGACCGCCTCCTCCAATACGTCCCCAAAGAGTGCTGAGATCAGCTGGTAACAACTTACTGGCGATCCCCGGACCTAGGGAGGTGCGGCTGTCCTCAGCTTGGGCCAGGGCCTTTTTGGTCCTGGCCCCGACCTGGTGGAACTCATTGCCGAACAACATCAAGGCCCTACGGGATCTTATACAATTGCCCAGAGCCCACTTGCAGGGTTGGGCGATTCAAAAATCTAATGAAATAAACAGCTCTGAGAGAACTGTGACTGACCCAAGGTCACACCAGCAGCTGCATGGGGAGGAGTGGGGAATCAAACCCAGTTCTCCCACATTAGAATCCGCGCTCCTAACCACTACACCAAACTGGCCCTCAGCTTAGTTGACCACAGGATTGTTGTTGAAGATAAAATGGAGGAAGGGGACAATGATGTTATTACAGAGAAGCAAGGTCAAAACACCTCAGTATATAAACGAACAATGCTTCCTCCCTCAGGCTGGATCCATGCCGTGTTGACCCCTGTGGACTGCCTCGCCTTCGGGGGCAACTTCCTGCACAGTCTCAACATTGAGATGCAGCTCAAGTGAGTTTGACTGAGAGAACTTCACTGTCCACAGTGGGAGCATCACAAGGTGCCACCAACGCCTTTTCTGGTGCCCACAAAGTATTTTTAGAAAGTGGGTGGGGCCTAGTGGGACTTTTGCTCAGCAAATCTTCTGGTTGGCCATTGCAAATTTGATTGGCTGTACAGATTGTTTAAAATGTTGCTTTGGCAGCAGCTGCCACCACAGCACAAGGCTCTTCACTTTGTGACTGAAGTTAAGCCACGGTGGCCATTTTGTGCCTGGCTTCCACCTCCTGTGGCAGCCATTTTGTGGCTGCGCCCATCACACCGTCAGAATTCCAAAGGTGCCCAGAGAGTCAAAAAGGCTTGGGGACTCCTGGTCTTAGGGGAACGGTTTGGAGAAGGCCCAAGGAAGGGAATGCAAATCGCAAAACCCAAGTGTGAAGCATAGAAACGTGTCTCTGGCATCCTGAAGATTGAGTCTAAAATGCTGTAGGCCTGTGGCCTTCTGTGGGAGAGTAGTGTGTGGTTTTGGGTGCAAAATTCCCAGAGAGTCTAAAAGGTTTGGGGACTCCTGGTCTTAGGGAAATGGTTTGGAGAAGTCCCCAGGGAGGGAATGCAAATCGCAAAACCCAAGTGTGAAGCATAGAAATGGGTCTCTGGCATCCTGAAGATTGAGTCTAAAATGCTGTAGGCCTGTGGCCTTCTGTGGGAGAGTAGTGTGTGGTTTTGGGTGCAAAATGAAGCTTCTTGAGAAGTTCCAAGATTCTAGCCCTCTTGGTTGTGAAGGTGCGCTAGGAAAGCATGTAGACCCTCTTGCCTGGTGATATCTGAAAAAACAGAGGAGTGAAAGGGTCAGGTTTTCAGTGGTCAGACACCATTCAGTGGCCTCTGCCTAATAATAAGTAAATAATTAAATGCTGGCTGGTGTTTAACTGCTGTTTGTACGTCTTTATATGTATTTTAACTCTTTGTAATTTGTTTCAGTGATATGCATTTGGGTGTGAGGTGGATTTTAACGGTTTTAAAATGTGTGATTTTTATCCTGTATGTGTTAAACAGCCAGGGGCTTTGAGGCAAAAGGGGATCCTTTATTTATTGATTGATTTGATTTTTACGCTGCCCTCCCCACCGAAGCAGGCTCAGGATGGCTTTACTTTAAATAAAACAGCTGTATTCTCTTAAACATAGATAAGAATTTATTTAGAAGTCAAAAGGCATAAGTTTCTGGAGGGTTCACAAACGTAATGGTTTCAGATAGGTACAGTTCTTCTTTCTCTACAGTTCCTCAAATAGGCATGGCCACAAAGACTGATTTTCCTCACAGACAGCCTGACTTGGGTCTCTTCAGCCCTTTTTTTTCTCTTCCCCCCCCCCAACCCACCCCCAGGGCCTATGAGATTGAAAAACGCCTCAGCACGGCTGACTTCTTCAAGTTCCCCAACTTTGAAACCATCTGCTGGTATGTCGGCAAACATCTTCTGGACATCTTCCGAGGTGGGTTTCGTGTCCACTCGTCGTCAGTGTCTGTTGTTGGATAGGAGAGTTACCCCCCCACTGAGGCTCTCTGTCCCCCTGCCCTTTCCTCAACAGGTCTTCGGGAGAACCGCAGGCACCCCGCCGCATACTTGGTTCACGGAGCCAAAGCCCTGAACACAGCCTTCCGCTCCTGGACCAAGAAAGAGGTAACCGGGTGGAGAAACTTCACAGCCTGCATCTCTTCTCGGTCTCTAAGGTGCTGCTGGACTCTACTGCAGACCAACACGGCTACCCTCCGAAACTGTCTCCCTGCATATAGAAAGCTAAGAAGTCAGGAAGACAGTGTGGACAGTATGGCATAGTGATTAGTGTCAGGCTATGATCTGGGAGACCTGGGTTCGAATCCCCGCTCTACCGCAGAAGCTCACCGGGTGGCTGCGAGCTACTTGCTCGCACACAGCCTTGCCTACCCTCGTGGGGGGTAACCTACGTCAGAGGAGAAGAGAGTGCTGTTAAAATCTGCTTTGCGTCCCCAGGAGGGGATAAAAATGGGGTATAAATGTCTAGACAGACAAATGCTGACAGGACCCCTGTGGTAAATTTTTCTTTAAACATTTGCACGGAAGACAAATCATGCTGAAGCGGTATTGTGCAGGTGTTCTGCTTCTTTGAGTATTAGGCCCGGAGTCCGGGTATTTTGTCGAGGGGGGGAGGACCCCGCAGCAACCCAGTTTTTGTCTTCCCAGGCCCTGGCTGAGCACGAAGAAGAAATCCCGGGCACCGTTCGTCCAGCTCAGCTCATCAGAGATCTGGCCAAGGAGATCCGACTGGTGGAAGTGAGTGCGTAGAGGGCGGGGACCAGTCCTGACGGCGTAGCTGTCAATGCGTCGAAGGCAGCAGCACTAAAGGGGGCGGGGCTTCTGGGGAGAGAATCAGCGGGGGCCGGTCAGGAGTTTCTCAAAGCGTGGTCCGTCAGCCTTCCCCCATTCAAGATGAGAATTGCCCGGCCCTTTCCGAGTGCAGGGGAGCATCAGGACATATTGATAGTTTATGGATAGTCCCAAGCAGTGTTCCCTCTTAAGCTGAGTCAGTGTGAGCCAGCTCAGTCTTTTAGCCTCCGGCTCACACATTTTTGCCTTCGCTAGGAAGGGATGGCTCCAGAGCAAACTAATTGATGCAGGAGCCAAATCGCTCGCTCACAGCTTTCATGCCAGTAGTTCACAAAGTAGAATTCTTGCTTGCAAGACTCCACAGCTTAGAGGGAGCATTGGAGGAAACCAGACGGGTCCACTGCAGCTTCCCTCGCCAGGCTGTTAGTGCTCTTTAACAGGGCACTAACTTCCTGGCATTGGTCACTGGCAACGTCTGGGTGAGCCTCGCGCAGAATATCTTCCCCTTACGAGATTGCCACTCACAACCGAGGGAAACTTTCTGTACGAGCTGATCTCTTATGCGAGTTTTCTGCCAGCTTGCCGTATGAAACAGCAGGCCTGAGCTGTCACAAGTAAGCCCATCGCAACACTGATTTGCTCACAAGGGCCCCAGCCGGCCTCCTAAACCAGTCAGTAGGTTTGTGTGCCTTCAGCTTTGGACCAAGAGACGAGCCGGGACGCTTCCTTTCCTCCTTGTGGCTGGAAGGCCAGCACACTTCCTTGCAAGTAAGCTTCACTCGATGTACGTTGTGGGCACTCAGCACGGCATAACGTCCAGAAGAGGGGTCAGGGCAGGCCTGTAGCTACGGTGGGGCTTTTGGGGGCTCTGCCGCCTTCTTAAAGGCACAGCCCCACGAGGATTTCTCCTGCAAATGCTTTTTTCAATCATTTTAAAATCGTTAAAGGCGTGCGCTCCTGTAAGCAGAGTGGGGTAGTGTAGTTGACTCCGCACTGAGCCAAGGGGGTTGGAGTAGGTGACCTCTAGGATACCTTCTAACTCTGTGTCCAGAAACTGGTCTCCTTTCAGAGAGTTTTTCTGGCCAAGTGTGAGCTTCCTTGACTACAGAAGCCATCACCCCCACCTGCCGACTTGTGATCAGAACTGTTGCGTAGGCTGGCGGAAGTGATTAACTTGCAGCAGCTGAGAACTGTCATCCAAAGTGGTTGACAGCTTGCAGTTTAGAGATCTGTCCTGGTCACAGCTTTCTGTTGGCCTAAATGGCTTTTCTTTGTGCACTGAGAACTTCGGCCCCACCAGGAAAATAATTTGCCCCACAAGCCACAAGATCCTGGCTACAGGCCTGGATCAGGGAAGTTCAGATTTCACCCGGTCTGTAAAGGGGATGGCCCTTAAGCAGGCCGGTCTAGGGGTCATTATGGCGGTTTGTTGCTTTTGTTCCTTGCCTAGTAGTTGCAGAGGCTGCAGGATCGAGTCTCTGGTGTGCACAGAGCAGCCACGGCAGAAACCATAGCCTGGCTGTTTATACCACACCACAAAGAAAAAAATTCCCCGGCACCCCGCAGAGAAGCAGAGGGGCCTGCAGGCTTCACCTCTCTGTCTCAGGGACGCCGGACAGCTTTTGTGCGGAACGCTCAGCCGAAATGTCTCTTTTTCATTATTCACGCCTTGGGGGACAACATTGCAAAATCCGATCCCCGATCCTCCTATTAAATGATCTCAGATTGGCGGGGAAGACCTTTGTCAGTAAGACCCTGAACTAGAAGGGCTGGAGGTCTGACTCGGGACTGGGCGGCTTCAGGGGGTCATAGAGCAGGAAGCAAGTCAGGGGTCCGGAGCCAGTTTGGTGTGGTGGTTAAGTGCGCGGACTCTAATCTGGGAGAACCGGATTTGATTCCCCACTCCTCCACTCGCAGCTGCTGGATGACCTTGGGCAAGACGTAGTTCTGACAAGAGCTGTCCTTGAAAGAGCTCTCTCAGCCCCGCCTACCTCACAGGGTGCCTGTTGTGGGGAGGGGAAGGGATAGGAGTTTGTCCACGTGACGGGCGGGGTATAAATCCAATCTCTTCCTCCTCCTCGTCCTCTTCTTCTTCTTCCCCAGCCAAAGGGTGCTGCTCTAGGGAGGCCTGCCTGCCACTCACTTTGAGAACCAGAACAGGGAACGGGGCTTTTGTCCTCCTGTGTGGGTGGAACAGCCAAGTCGAGGGGGGGGGTGGGACTGCTGTCGCCCTTGCCGCCACGGCCCCTAGTGATGTTTGCAGCAGCATGTGAAGGGGCACGAGGGCCGATTCCTTTGCGTGGCACCGTTGCTCACACTGTCCCAGGACATGTTCCAGCAGAACATCGGGAAGACAGGCACCCCGTTCGGCCTGCAGAGGGGCACGCAGCCCGGCGCCACCGCCAAGAAGGGAGACCAGAGCCCCAAGGAGTCGGGGAGGAAAGGCAGCCGGCGGGACGTGGCCACGGTCAAAGCCCTGGAGCTGGAGCTGCTGAACAAATACACGCGGCAGGCCCTGAAGGGCGTGGAGAGCCCCAGCCAAGAGGAGGTGAGGCACCTTCGGCGGCCATGCAGACTAGGATGTGTGGGGGGGGGGGGGGCAGCGCCTCTCTGTAGCCGTCTTCGGCTGCTTGGCTCCTGCACAGACCTCTTTGGGTCGCTCTTTCCCGGCTCCCTGGGAATAACATGCCTCCCTCTCTTTCCACTGCCGGAGATGCCATCATAGATTATTCTTTAATCATTCAGTCAAAATTTGCTCCCCAGTACGAAAACATAAAGGGAGATAATTTAAGAGCGGCATACCTGGTAAATATTCCCGCGTACAAGTTTAGAACAGCATCTGCAGCATCACGCCTCCAGACTACACCAACAGAATTACTCCTGGGACGATACTTAAAAATACCCCAGGAACAACGTATTTGTATCTGTAAAAACATATATGTGGAGGATCTTTTTCATTATGTCACGGTCTGCCCATCGGACTGGGAACCGAGATGTCAATTCCTGACTGCAATAATAGATCGATTGCAAAAAATTTCTGACACCAATAAATTAATATTTCTGCTGTCGGACGTAGACCCTATTGGGCGTTGTAAATAAGAAGCGGGAGACTGACCAGTTATAAAGGTGCACAGAGAGTTTATATAGTTATAAAGGTGAATATATACAGAGATATTTACAGGCTATCGTACAGCATGTCGTGCCTTAGTCTATGAGAACTAAATCCCTTCCATCTTACTAAACTGATAGCTATTATGCTAAACCCCAGCCAATCTCTAACAGGGTGATGCAATCACTAACTCTAACAAGCCCTGAAAGAGTAACACCTGCTAGGAAACACCTGGCTGTAATTATATGATTACTAGCATGACAGCTAGTTCTGACAAAAAGATCAAACTGATCTATAGTAACTGCTTGCTACCACTCTGACATATGACATATATCTCAATAGACCCTACAGTTTCCTAAAGGGTAGCAATTCTTCGCCTTAGCGGCTAGTAAAATCAGGGCCAAGAACATAGGGAAATGAAATTAAACTGTAAAACGGCAATGTCGGAGGCTGTGTTCTGTGTTTCTGGAGATGGGTATCTATAGGTAAGATTTTAGGTAATTTAAATACTGAATGTGCAGATTTTTAGAGGTGGTTAGATTTTAAATCTAATTCAAATTCCAGTGCTGTGAGTTGTCTAATTTTTATATTGTTTTAAATTGTAATGGGCCAGTGGCTACGCAATACATTTTACTCCTCCTCCTCGTTCCACTGCAGTTTGATTTGCCAAGTTCCAGCCTGGAAGACACAGAAGGGGAACCGGACCTGACGGAGGAGGAGCCGTCCTTGGTGGTGGCTAACGGCCGGGGCAGCAGGTGAGTTGTGTCTGAGCACGCAGGCCGCTTTGCAAGGGCGGAGGATAGACGGGTTGAACAGAGGGTGGAGCTGTACTGCAGCAGCACCTCTGGCTTTCCAGCGCTGCAGACACCAGCAGGCACCCTTGGCCCTTGGATTGTCTGTCTCACATTCACACGTGTGCCGCCTTTGCTTCCAAATGGGCATCCAATGACGCTGATGGGCAGTCGGTTCAGGATGGACCACAGGACATACTCCTCTACACGGAGGCAGTGCTCCCTCTAAGGAGTGGAGTCCTATGAGCAAAAATTCTACTTTCTGAGCTACCGGCATGAAAGTTGTGAGCAGGCAGGTGATTTGGCTACGGCATAAATTAGTTTGCTCTGGACTGGAGCCCTCCTTCCTGAGCTAAGACAAAGACGTGTGAGCCAGAGGGTTAAAAATTGTGAGCTGGCTCACGCTAATTCATCTTATCGGACAATGAAAAGTCGGTTTTCCTCTTGTTCGATATGTATCCCCTGGTTACTCGCAAGGTAGCGCTTTTTGCGCTTGCAGCCAGAAAAGTTAGATCCGAGGTTGTTTCTAGTATTGTCTTACATAGACCTACAAACCTGGTAGCATAGCTTCTATGATTTTAAAACTTTTGACTGTTTTATTTGTGGAAATGTTATATAGTCTTATTCTGAAGGCTTTGTTTTTAGAATGGTACTTTTGAATCTTAAATTTATATTGCGCATTTATATTTTACATTGTTACGGCCAACGGCCATATACAATAAACTTACGAATTCTGCTTAGAGGGAACGCTGCACGGCGGGGTGATTAAAAGGGGGGCCTTTGCTGCCGGAGGATGTCGTGACGGCCAGAGGAATAAATGGTTTTAAAAGGGGATTAGATTCCTGGGGGATTACGTCTATCAATGGCTACTAGCTGTGGTGACTGAGGGGAACCTCCACATTCAGAGGCACTAATCCTCTGGATCCCAAAGCCAGGAGGCAACATCAGGGGAAGGCCTCGGCCTCTCTCCCCTGCTGTTGGCCCTCCAGGGGAACTGGCTGGCCCCTGTGTGAGGCAGGAGGCTGGACTAGGTGGACCTTCACTGGTCTGATCCAGCAGGGCTCTTTGGATGTTCTTCTGATGTAAGCACTCAGTGCGCCTCCTGTCCCCTGTCTGTCTGTAGGGAGGTCACTTGCAGGCGGCTGCCATCGTAGACACGGGGGCTCCATTTCGACTCCCCCCCCCCCCCCCCCCGGGAGCTGAGCCCTGTCCCAGATTCCTCATAAGCCTGCCTTTGTGACACATACCCTTTGCAAACACGCAGGGGTGGCTTTCATTTACGCACGTGGGTATCTGCGTAGGCCCCCTTTCCGGGGACTTCACCCTTCGTGGGACGCTGCTCGATCCGGATCTTCTCTCCGCAGGAAGGTCAAGGCTTCTGAGCGGGCCCGGAGCCGTAAAGGCGCGCGAGCCCCGCCCAGCCCGTCTGACGCCGAGGCCCTGGACATCGACTCCGAAGAAGACCTGCAGATTGACGAGACGCCGCGCCGGGAAAGGCGGAGCCTGGTGCTGCGCAAGAGACTGCCCAGTACGTGGCCTCCCTTCTCCTGGGACTAGACCCACCTCTGACTGCTGCGTCTTTCCCGGGTTGGGCAAATACATGCCGGTGTATCCATTCCTCTTCTCTCCCTCCTCCCTCTTCCTCCTCCCTCTCCTCCTCCTCTTTCTCTCTTCTCCTTCTCCTTCTCTTTGTTATCCCTGTTGGTTATCTACCAGTTCAACTCTGTTCTTTCTTCAGAACTCGACCTTTTGGCCAAAGCCTTTCTCAGATCACCGAAGCCAGAGCTGTAAGCCCACAGTCAGTCACGTGTGGTATCCTCTCTAAATTGTTAAAACATGATGTTTCATGGATTTGGGGTAATCCTAATAAACCAGGAGGGGGGAAGGAGCTCATTCCTCCCACAGAATGCAAAGAGCCAGTTTGGTGTGGTGGTTAGGAGCACGGGCTCTAAACTGGGAGCACTGGGTGTGATTCCCCACTCAGCCTCCACATAGGCAGCTGCTGGCCTGACCTCAGGCCAGTCATAAGGTCTTTCAGAGCTGTTCTCTCAAGAGCAGTCCTCGAAAGAGCTCTCAGCCCCATGTGCCTCGCAGGGTGTCCGTTGTGATCGCTCTGAGACTCCGAGTGAAGGGTGGGGTAGAAATCCAATTTCTTCTTCCCCTTCCTCCTCTTCTTCCTCCTCTTCCTCCTCCTCCTCTTCTTCTTCTTCCTCTTCTTCTTCCACTTCCTCTTCCTCCTCTTCTTCCACTTCCTTTTCCTCCTCTTCCTCTTCTTCCTCCTCCTCCTCCTCCTCTTCCTCTTCTTCCTCCTCCTCCTCCTCCTCCTGCCACATGGTGCTTCCATCCTCCAGTCTCTGCTTCCCAAGTTCTGTCCTGCCCTTTCACTTTTGTCACCTGCGTATCTCTACTGGGGGCTGTGTGTTTTCCCACCTGACCTTTGGCCGTTACCAGCAAGTGCCGCCAGTCCGCCGCAGACACAGTTGTAGTCATTTGCATCTGAAGCTTGTTCCTGGCGCAGGTGGCTTCCCAGCCCAACTTTGGCAGCTGGTCCTTATACCTGCTGAGCCCTGGGAAGTTCCCGAGGGGGGGGGGGCTCAGTTCCTAATCGGCTCATTCAGGATTCCAGCCCAGTCTTCTTTGTTACTTCTCATGGTCTAGTGCCCTTAAAAAGAAGAAGAGATGGGATTTATACCCCGCCCTTCACTCGGAGTCTCAGAGCGGCTTACAAATTTCCTTTCCCTTTCCCTCCCCACAACAGACACCCTGTGAGGTAGGTGGGGCTGAGAGAGCTCTGGCAGAAACTGCTCTTTTGCAAGAACAGCTCTTATCAGAACTACGGCTTGCCCACGGTCATCCAGCAGCTGCGAGTGGAGGAGTGGGGACTCAAACCCCGTCCTCCCAGATGAGAGTCCACGCACTTAACCACCACACCAAACTCATGAACTATTCCCTCAGCATCCAACAATGAAACCAACCTTGCGCTCGCTCTCTCTCTCTTTTTAAATTCTTGATTCCAGAATTTCCCCGGAAGTTGCCACGAGCCAAACCCTGTTCTGACCCGAACCGAGTGCGGGAGCCTGGGGAAGTGGACTTCGACATTGAGGTCAGTGGGGGGGGGGCAGCAGAGGGGAGGAGTTAGATGGGAGTTCAGGCCGGCCTGGGTTTAGTTCAGGAGCCACTGGAGTGCCTGAGATTAGGCTGTGGAATGGCTCGAGTTCTAATACAGGGGAAATCTGGGCTCCAGGAGGTTTCTTTGGGAGGGTGTTTTTTTGGGGGGGGGGTGTTTGTGTGTGTGTGTGGGGGTGTGCATTGATGTGCCTGTGCCTGGAAGCCACGGAAGCCTCGCAGGGGGGGCC